TTCAGGGGCTGGTTTCTTAATTCAATGTTGTCTTATTCAGTGCTGGCGCTGTACAGCAACTGCATGATCTTATCGAAGGATACCAGCGCTATTTGGGCGACTGCGAGCAGAGGGCAGCAGATGGCCAACGAGAGATCACTTTCGATGAATGGGCCAAGCAGTGCGTTGGGGTTCACTTTGTCTCCGACTCCCTTTGACTGCACCTCGCATGAGTCAGGCTGGCTTGCTTTACGAATCAGGTACGAATGGCGCTATGATGCCGACGAGCGGTTCAAGGCCTCCAATCGTCGAAAGTAAGCATGTGCCTAGTGGCCTAGTCAAAGGTGGACAGGTTTGATTGCTTGGATGTGTGGTAGTCGGGCTCAGCCTTGGACCACGTTGCAGGCAAGACAGATGTATCCGGAATATTTTAATCACTCCGGACCAGCTCCGCTCCCTGTGGAGGACTGGGAGGTGGGTGCCGGTCGGCTGCGAATCTGCTCGCACGACTGTTTGCCAGTGTCTGGAGTGGAGGTGGATTACCTGACACACAAGGAGATCCAGAAGATCATGTCTCCTGCTCAAACCGACAGCGCCTGCGCCTCTCTAGACAGCCTTGGACTTCTCAGGTATCGGCGCCAGACCGAGGCAATGGGTGCACGCCGACGGGAGAAGGAAGCTAAATTACTGCAGAAACCACCAGAGGCGGGAAACCACGATACACCCGTATGCGCGTTCGATACGACAAGTTGAATTCATGCTCAGGACTCATCCAACACCAAACTGCATGTGGACAAAGAGGATGAGCCGATTCTTCGGGATGCTGTCATCAAGAAAGGCACGGGCTTGCGACGAGGATTACTGATACGTTTTGCTTGTGTCCTCGTGCAAGGCTACAACTATTGGTGGTGATCTCTGAGAGCTGTGCGACATGGTGTAAAGCGGGCGAAGCCTTTTGGGTATGGCTGTGTGCAGTCACGCCTCTTGGCACTGCCGGCATCACCGATGTAGATCGAGAACCACGAGGAAGAAGCGGCCCGCTGCCGTTTCGCGGGGCTTCTGAGCCTGTTGGCTCAGGGCCAGCGCCAAGCTGTACAGGGGTACGAGGATGATGTGGACCATCTGAGCTCCCATGAGCGCGGTTTACTGAAACAAGACTGAAACAAGGATAGCTCCGCAAGGCATGCGAGCTAGAAGCCTTGGCCTTGCCAGTTATCTTGCCGGACTCGGAGCACAATGAGCATGCTGCAGGCAACCGAGAGGAATTGGATGGCCACTTTTCAGCTGTACCGCATCATTGAGACATGGCTTGGCAAGTGAAGACAGTCTTGAGTCGTATTACCAAGAACCTTGGATGGCGGGCCCGTTTCCCGAGCTCAGGAGCAGCAGATGGCATATGCGAGAGTTGTGGCCTCAGCAACATCCCTGTGAAGGGGATTTGCGGGGATCTTTGAATGGCTCAGGTTGGAATTGAGTGGGATCCATGGAAGATCGCTGAGCAGGCGAAGTGAAGCGGCAAGCTGCGGAGAAAGGTCACGAAGAAGCGAGCGTCCATGCCGTCCATGCGTAGGGCCCCCGCGCAAACACTAGTCACTAGTGCTTGGAAGTCCGTGTCGGGATGTGCAACTGTTAGCGTGATCCGGAAAGTCAGAGCAAGCCAGGATCGTCTTGTTGTTCCTCAGGAAGACGGAGAAACGCATGTGACACTGTCCTGGATGCACGCATATGCACGCCGCAACGCACTGTCTCGCCCCGTCAGGTCCGCGGGTGAACCCTAGTACAGTGGGTCTTTTCCGCTTGCTTGGAATCGATGCTACAGTCTCAACCGACCTATCCGTCATTGAATCATGTTGGTTTCGAACGCCGATGCTCATCGGGCTCATCTGAAGGCAGGCCATGTCGCTCTTAGTACAGCGGCAATTGCAGATGCGCCGTATCTTATCTAACATGCATTACACGAGTTGCCATCCATTGGATTTCGTAACTTGGTGGTAGTCAGGGCGAATCGACTCAAGCCTGGCTGCCCCAGACTTCTTGTGAAGCTTTGTGCAGCGAAAGACTTCATGACAGCTGCCCAGCCTGATCGGCATGAGCTGGCTACTCGGATCGCCCGTCTTCGTGCAAGACGATGCTCAGCTTGTAGGTCGCATGACTGGCGTTGCTTCGCCGAGTATCACCATGAAGATCCTTGAAGCCTGCGTAAGGCCAACCCGCGGGCAAGTTGGGAGCAATTTTCAATGCCCAGAACTTATTCTGGCGAAAGGTAAAGCATGTCGGGCAAGGTTGCAGTCCACATTGCAGCTCGTGCTCAGTTTGCAATCGTAGGGTGAGAACTTCGACGACTCGAGGTCTTGCCCATACCTGTCTTCGCAATTGATTTACAAGGTCGGGTAGTGGAGTCTTCACTGCACCAGAGGGCAGCGTGGCCAACTGCAGACTCTGGACGTGAGAGACCATGCTAACTTGGCATGCCCAGGAAGCCAATGCAGCAGCAGTGGAGATTTGCGGGTTTAAGACCCAAGTGGCATGGCCTGCAGAAGTTGTGAGCGGCCAGAGCAAAGTCATTTCCGGGTGATGGTCTGCGTTCATGATTTGTAAGCCTGCTCGACAGCTTCGGTGTGAAGGACACGAGATGAGCTGCGGTGTTGAGTGTTTAGAATGCCCCAAGTAAAAGTTGAATGGAGGTTGAGCTGCTGCAGAAAGACTTTCTGCAAGCCCTTGTCGCCGATGAGGACTCGACAGCATGTCGAATTGCAGCTGGGGCCTCTGCATCGCTGCCAGGACAAAGCAGATGCTCGAGTCAGACTGAAGGAGGTCTTGGAAGGCCATGGAAGTGGAGAGTCGCTGAAGGCCGTCGCAAGCCCTAACCTGAAGATTCTGCGAGCTGCAAGATGGTTGCAAGATGCCCACTGCAGGTTACAGCAGTGACTCGAACCGGCGATGGCCTTAAAGTTCCAGCATGCCAGAGTCTGCCAGAGAGAGGTAAACCTCCCAGGCCGGAAGCAGGCATGCTTGAAGGCTGCTACAACCCGCAGTGCAGCAGGACTCCCCTCGAGTTTGGCGTGTCGCCTTTTGCCGCAACGGAACAAAGACCTCGCAGGAAAGCTCGACGGTGCAGTCATATGCGTCCAAGACATGAATGAGATAAAGATGCTGGCAGGTGCGGCTTGTACAGTTTGCTCGGTTAAGCTCGCGTGGAACGCTCGTCGGGTTTCTGCTTGGAGTCGTAGAGCTTTAATTATTTACACTCGAGACAGGTAGTGCGGCACATGCTGACGGTGCGGAGCATCTCTCTGGAGCTTTGTCTGCTACTGGAATGGCTCTGCTCCCTAACTGCATCGAGAAACACATTCTGGACAGCTGTGTAGCCGGCAGCAGCACTCCGCCGTCTTGGTCTTTTGTTATTGGCTCAAAGGTTCTGCATCGACAAGGAATGCAAGATTGTAGAGTGGACACCGAAGATGGAGATGCTTGCCTGCATTTTCCAACTATGACAGGATGACACATTACTTGGTTGCACAACTGTTGCACAGAGCTCGCAAAGGAACCAGGCTCCCGTTGAGTCATTTGCCCCCCGAACGAGTTTCGCTCGGTAATGCAAATTGCGTGGACTGGTATCTGAATGTGTCTGTTGTCAGGCCGTGCACGACGCACAGGATTTCATGTTTGCGGACGCTTTTGTTTGCAATCTCGCACTGTGCTCTGCTTCGTGCATGGAGTTTGTTCATTAGTAGTAGCTTTATTGAATGGGTGTTTGTAATTAAACACAGGCTTCGTGTTTTCGCCCATGCCAAAAATGCGATGACACAGTCAGTCTCCTGAAGTCCCTCCCAATCATCAGCTTGTGTTGAGGGCGCTGAAGCCATGGATTCATATGGCCAAAGGAGGGACAAGAAAAGGATAGATTGAGTCAGACATGCTTTGATTGGCGGTATCATCGTAGGCAGAGGCAGACACGGCACGGTTGTGCACTCCTCGCTCTGACAAACACAAACACAAGCAGAAGCAACCACACACACACAAACGCACACACACACACACAACATACACACACAAAATACACACACACACACAAACAAGCATATTCAAGCAAGCACACGCACACGCACACAAACAAACACACACACAGACACACACACACACACACACAAACACACAAACACACACACACACACTCGTACACCCAGGTTTCTGGGCATGTATTCTCATGAGTGAAGTCAACTCAGC